TCTTTCTCTTCCTATTTCTCTTTTTCTCTTGCTTTCTCTCTCGCTTCCTATTTCTCTTTCTCTCTCTCTCTCTATCCTTCTCTCTCTGTTTTCTCACTCTTTCTCTCTCTGTACTTCTCTGTTTTTCTCTCTCTTTCTCACCTTCCTTCTCTCTTTTTCTCTCTCTTTCTCTTCCTATTTCTCTTTTTCTCTTGCTTTCTCTCTCTCTTCCTATTTCTCTTTCTCTCTCTCTCTATCCTTCTCTCTCTCTTTTCTCTCTCTTTCTCTCTCTGTACTTCTCTGTTTTTCTCTCTCTTTCTCACCTTCCTTCTCTCTTTTTTTCTCTCTTTCTCTTCCTATTTCTCTTTTTCTATCTCTTCCTCTCTCTTTATCTCCCTATTTCTCTTTTTGCTCTCTTTCTCTCTAACCTTCTCTCTCTCTTTCCTCTCTCTTTCGCTTTCTATCTCTCCCTATACTTCTCTGTTTTCTCTCTTTCTCACCTTTCTTCTCTCTCTTTCTCTCTCTTTCTCTTCCTATTTCTCCTTTTCTCTCTCTTTCTCTCTATCCTTCTCTCTCTCTTTTCTCTCTCTCTCTTTCTCTTTCTCTCTCCATCTGTACTTCTCTTTCTTTATTTCTCTCTCAACCTACGTGAAGGCAACCCTTAAATAAAAAGAGGACGAAAAAGAAAAAATTGAACCCGGTCAAAAACACCGAGCCTACATATTTGGCGTCCTGGGTAAGACGATAAACTACATCCGATATTAAGACCTTAGATCAGGTTTTGAGGAGCATGGAATCACCTCATAATTGCTGATGTTCCTAGACCCACCCTAAGCCGGGGTGGTAGTCCCTGTCGTGGTTCCAGCTATGAGGAAATAGTTACCCCACACCCACAAAAATGGGTCAAAACACTATAAAAGTATAAAAATAGGTTTTATACTAGCAATACATTTATGGAAAAATATTACCAGCAATTTATTTTTGGAAAAAAAAAATAGCAGCAATAAAAATCTTCGTATGTCGTAAAACAAAGCCAAGCAAATCAAAATACAACAAAACTGAACCCGGCCAAAAAATACCGGAAGTTTACAAGTGCCGAGCCTACTAATTTCTAACTTAAAAATACCAAAAATTAGAGAGGATTTACACATATCTTCCGCTATAAAAAATGAAAAAAAAAAAGAAACGCCGGTAAATTAAATAATTTGACCAATCGAAAAAAAATTAAAAGGGATACTTTTTTTAATCAATTTTCGCGCAAAATTCCCGGGCCTCATCAGCAGGATAAAAAGCTGACAGCTCTCGACTAGAGGCAGAAGGAGGGCAGGAGAGGAGGGGGCAAAAGAACAATACCACGTAGAAACCAGCCATGCTTGACGCGTAAGGAAGCAGTTAAGAGGTCATCGGCTATTGGCATTTCCGCCCTGCTAAGGACCGAGAAAAACACAGTAGATTCAAATCGATCTAATTTCTGAGATTAATTCTATCCGTCTTACTTCAGACAGCCACCAATATTTCTCATATGAACGACTCTTTTTGCTACGCTGAATCTCAAAGGACTCACTTATTGCGAGCCGGTGTACACGTGTGTCTCCTGAAATGCCAACAACCAACATGGCAGACTCGGAATATGAGTCCACGTAAAAAAAAAATATATATATATATATATATATATATATATATATATATATATATATATAACAAACAAATGATAATGTTTTAAAAAATAAAGGGTTACATAAACAATAGAATATTTTTCCGTGTTACTGAAAAATGAACATGAATGAAGAAAACATCTAAGTGAAATTTTGTATGCGTATGCCTATTTTAGTGTAGGAGAAAGTTCTAGAAAAAATGAAGCAAAAAGTGCTTACATACGTGTGCGTGTGTGTGTATTATTCAAGCATTTCCCAAACCGAGAACACGTTCTTCCACGTGAGACTTACATGTTGACGTGTAAGCGGAAAAATGAGAAGAAGAGATTGAAAAAAGATATCGACGAGTATTTATAGTCCGGAAAGCGTCCCCTATTAGCGGTTTTGAAAATTAGGAGGAGGTAAACCGACATACTCATCACTTTAAAGAAAATAATTAAAAGTATATTATTTATTTTAAATACTTCAGTCAGTTCGTGTATATGATTGTGTTTCGATAAAACAAGAATCCTGCCTATCACCTATCCACACTGGTTACCGACATGATAGGAACACCACATTTTCAGATATGAACACACTTTTTACAATAGTATTACACTCTTTAATCAGTGTTTCGGGGGGGGGTCGATCACTGGCTCAGTTTTTGAAAAATATTCTTCCTCATTCCCATACGATGTTAAGGCATAAGTTTCCTTTTTGTTTCCATTTTCTCTAAAACCTCGTCGTTGCTCACATGTTCGGTCCATGGTATCCTCATCATCCTTCTGTAGAAATTTCAACTGCCTCTTCCTGATGTTAAGTATAAGTTTCCTTTTTGTTTCCATTTTCTCTAAAACCTCGTCGTTGCTCACATGTTCGGTCCATGGTATCCTCATCATCCTTCTGTAGAAATTTCAACTGCCTCTTCCTGATGTTAAGTATAAGTTTCCTTTTGTTTCCATTTTCTCTAAAACCTCGTCGTTGCTCACATGTTCGGTCCATGGTATCCTCATCATCCTTCTGTAGAAATTTCAATTGCCTCTTCCTGATGTTAAGTATAAGTTTCTTTTTTGTTTCCATTTTCTCTAAAACCTCGTCGTTGCTCACAGGTTCGGTCCATGGTATCCTCAGCATCCTTCTGTAGAAATTTCAATTGCCTCTTCCTGATGTTAAGTATAAGTTTCCTTTTTGTTTCCATTTTCTCTAAAACCTCGTCGTTGCTCATATGTTCGGTCCATGGTATCCTCAGCATCCTTCTGTAGAAATTTCAATTGCCTCTTCCTGATGTTAAGTATAAGTTTCCTTTTTGTTTCCATTTTCTCTAAAACCTCGTCGTTGCTCATATGTTCGGTCCATGGTATCCTCATCATCCTTCTGTAGAAATTTCAATTGCCTCTTCCTGATGTTAAGTATAAGTTCCCTTTTTGTTTCCATTTTCTCTAAAACCTCGTCGTTGCTCACATATTCGGTCCATGGTATCCTCATCATCCTTCTGTAGAAATTTCAATTGCCTCTTCCTGATGTTAAGTATAAGTTCCCTTTTTGTTTCCATTTTCTCTAAAACCTCGTCGTTGCTCACATCTTCAGTCCATGGTATCCTCATCATCCTTCTGTAGAAATTACAATTGCCTCTTCCTGATGTTAAGTATAAGTTTCCTTTTTGTTTCCATTTTCTCTAAAACCTCGTCGTTGCTCACATGTTCGGTCCATGGTATCCTCATCACCCTTCTGTAGAAATTTCAATTGCCTCTTCCTGATGTTAAGTATAAGTTCCCTTTTTGTTTCCATTTTCTCTAAAACCTCGTCGTTGCTCACATATTCGGTCCATGGTATCCTCATCATCCTTCTGTAGAAATTTCAATTGCCTCTTCCTGATGTTAAGTATAAGTTCCTTCTTGTTTCCATTTTCTCTAAAACCTCGTCGTTGCTCACATATTCGGTCCATGGTATCCTCATCATCCTTCTGTAGAAATTTCAATTGCCTCTTCCTGATGTTAAGTATAAGTTCCTTCTTGTTTCCATTTTCTCTAAAACCTCGTCGTTGCTCACATATTCGGTCCATGGTATCCTCATCATCCTTCTGTAGAAATTACAATTGCCTCTTCCTGATGTTAAGTATAAGTTTCCTTTTTTGTTTCCATTTTCTCTAAAACCTCGTCGTTGCTCACATATTCGGTCCATGGTATCCTCATCATCCTTCTGTAGAAATTACAATTGCCTCTTCCTGATGTTAAGTATAAGTTTCCTTTTTGTTTCCATTTTCTCTAAAACCTCGTCGTTGCTCACATGTTCGGTCCATGGTATCCTCATCATCCTTCTGTAGAAATTTCAATTGCCTCTTCCTGATGTTAAGTATAAGTTCCCTTCTTGTTTCCATTTTCTCTAAAACCTCGTCGTTGCTCACATATTCGGTCCATGGTATCCTCATCATCCTTCTGTAGAAATTACAATTGCCTCT